CCAGGTGAGCGTTGCCGTATGTTTATGATGGCTGTCCTGCTTGCCAGCTCTGCCTCCCATAGTTAATGTTTTTCTCTAATCTTAACACACTTGTCATTTCTAAGTATATATTCAGCTGTTACTTTGTGGGTGGGATGAGGAGGGAGCAGGTTAGCTGGCCATGCTTTGCTCCTTAGGCCAGCCAGATAGAGAGCCTTGCCACACTTCCTCCAGAATAGAGACATCCTTGAACTCCGGCATGTAAATTAAGAAACATGACCAATACTCGTCTGCTTCTGTCTCTCAATGTTGTTGAAGTTACATAATGCGTCCCATTACTAACCGTCTAGACTGCTGCTCATGCGTGGCTTCTGCAGCAGTCTGCTGAGCACCAGGACTGTGGCCCGTCTGTTGCCCCTGTGAACGCTGCTGGTCCTGATTTTCATGTTCCCGCGTATGTTCTTTAGGTTGACTTCAGTCCATCCCGAGTCTCTCCCCTCCCGCCCTTCACTCTGCTGCTTCTGAGAATTGTCTGGAATAAATCAGCAGGGAGACAGACACCCAGTGCTGTCAAGTGCTTCCAGTTGAAAGTGTGTGGCTTTAGCTGGTGAAGTTTGCTTCTGCCTCTCTCGCATAATTCCCGTGTATTTGAAGTTTCTGGAAAAGAAAACAAATGCTTGAAACCAAATGACGTCGTTCCTCAGTAGTGAGCTTAGCCTGACTAATGTTTGCTTCCTGCCATTCAGTTGGCTCCCACTTCATCACCGTCTCTTCTCTTCAGAGGTCTGTACATGAGTAAGGACTCAGCACTGACAGCTGAAATATTTCAGTAGAGTTCACAGCTTGTGCTTAATCAGTTTAACCCCCACACTCAGCCCTGCAATTAAAACCAAAATTTTCTGGCAGCCACGCCTGATGGCTCACATCTTCAATTCTAACACTTGAGAAGCAGAAGCACAGGGACCTCTGAGTTCAAGGCTAGCCTGGTCTACAGAATTAATTCTAGGATAGCCAGGGCTACACATAAACCCTGTATTGATGCCACCTCCCCTGGTACTCCTTCCCCTCAGAAAAGGAAAGAAAAACTCCTGATCTCTGTCATTCAGGCCTCTGGTCTTGTCACTCTCCGGAGACATTGACTTGTATGCAACAGACTGAGTCCAGGGGAAAGGGCCCTGTGTCCTCCACACTTGCACTTTACTTTGTAGTCGTTGCAGATGTGTGTGGATTGTGTGGGGCAAGCATATGTTGTGGTCAGTGTAGAAATCAGAGCTAGAAAGAATCGTTCCTGGAGATACAACTCAAGTTATTAGGTTGGCAGCAAGCAACGTTACCTACTGAGCCATCTCACCATCCCAAACTTTTTGTTAATTATTGTACTATATCTTTGGTGGTTTCATATATGAATACAGTGTATTTAGACCATATTCACTCACCTATAAACCCTCTGGGCCTTTCTCCTATATCTTCCTCCCAACTTTATACCTTATAACATATTTATGCACATATATATGTGTATTTACACACACACATATATATATACATGTGTGTGTGTGTGTGTGTGTGTGTGTGTGTGTGTGTGTGTGTGTGTACATACATAACATACACATAAAACCTTCTTTGGAGGTGGGAGCCGCCCATATGCTCTCTGTGGAGCATACACGGTAGTGGCAGCAGAACATGGCGCTCACAGCGGAGAAAGGACACTCTGCCTAGTAGCAGCTGTTGCCTGTCAGGAGCTTCTCACACTTGGATTTTTTACTATTTATTTTATGTGTGTTGGTGTTTTGTCTGCGTGTTTGTCTGTGTGAGAGTGTCAGATCTTGGATGTTGGAGTTACAGACAGTTATGAGCGGTCGGTCATGTGGGTAGTAAGAGTTGAACCTAAGTCCTCTAGTTGAGCAGTCAGTGCTTTTAGCTGGTGAGCCATCTCTCCAGCCCCTCACACTTGAGGTTTTGGTTTTGTTTTGTTTTTGTTTGTTTGTTTTTGAGACAGGGTTTCTCTGTGTAGCCCTGGCTGTCCTGGAACTCACTCTGTAGACCAGGCTGGCCTCGAACTCAGAAGTCCTCCCGCCTCTACCTCCCAAGTGCTGGGATTAAAGGCATGCGCCACCAACACCCGGCCACACTTGAGAGTTTTTAAAGAATGCTTTTGATCCATGAAAAACAAAACTGCTTTCCTGTATATATAAGATCTATTGAATGTTCTTAAGTTACAAAATCAAAGACTACCCACAGAAAAAAAAAGTCTTAAGTAGTATCCTTTTTCTTCCTAAAGGTAAAATTACAGTATCTTAGTAAGTATTCCTTTGGAAGCTCAGATTTTTTGCCTATTTTGAGAGTTAGTAGTATACTTTGAAATATAGTCAGTGCCTTATATCTGAAGTTGTGTAGGACGCTGGAAAAATGGATCAGCTGGTCTGGTGCTTTCCAATAAAGGGTAACTTTACAAAGAGAAAGATTTAAAATAGTTACATGCACAAAATCTGTGTTTTCAGTGTTTGTTGAAATGGTAATGGTCTGTGTTGTAGGAAGCAGGACGTTGTCTTCTGAAGCATGTTGTCCTATCTTTTTAGTCGTGGGAGCATGGGCAGGGAGAAGAGTGACAAGCCGCTTCCAGCTGGAACAGCCCGTCCCAACACGTTCCTGAGGGGCAGCAGCAAAGACCTTCTGGACAACCAGTCTCAGGAAGAGCAGCGCAGAGAGATGCTGGAGACCGTGAAACAGCTGACAGGAGGTGTGGATGCTGAGCGGGCAAGCGCTGAGGCTGACCGGAGCAAAACGAGGGAGCTAGGTAAGAGGGCTCTGAGACACGGGACAGCTCTACTATTGGCTTTAAATTCAGAAGCAAAATACAGAGACAGGACTGGAGAGGTGATTTACCAGTTAAAAACACTGACTCCATGTCCAGAAGACCCATATTCAGTTCCGAGCACCCAAATGGTAGCTCACAACAATCTTTAATTTCACTTCCCACATCCTCTTCTGACCTGTGAACACACAGCACTCGTGTGGGACAGACACAACACTAATACATATAAATAAAAAAAAAATAAGTAATAATAAAACTACCAAGACTGTTCATGAATAAAATTCTGAACCGACTTCCAGGACACATGCACAGCGTTGTCATTGGGTGTTACTGGTGTCTTTCCAGAGCTGTGCCGTCACAGAGCTTCCAGTCTTCCTGCTGCCATGCCATGTGGCGGCAAGGTCCTTTTTCTTCATGTTTGGTATTCTGAGTTTCTCACAAGTCCTTTCAGCACCTGGTCCCATGGTCACTAGAGTGTCTGTGTTTTAAAGCCCCTGGAGGCTCCGCTAGGGCTCACATTATCCTGCCTAACAAAGAGAAGGTATCAGCCGGTCTTCTCCAGTTGGGTCTCCCTTGTCACTTGTGTGGGTTTGTTTGTATGTTGGGTGGGTGCATGTGCTCAGACTCTGCACTGGTGGTGTGGTAACAGTTCCCTTGTGTCTTCAGTCTGGCTGTAGCTTTTTATCGATTCATGTATACCCTGTCCAGTTCTTTCTTAGAAAAAGATATTGAGAGTTAATGTGCAGAAACACTTGGAACAGAAACTGATAGATAAAATGTTTTGAATCATCTTAGCGGTCACGATGAGCAGTAGAGATGAAGCAGGCTTCTGGGACGGAGCAGGTGGGAAGCATAGGGGAGCAGGGCGGCAGGAACAGCCGGCCAGAGTTGCAGCAAGAGAGGCCAGGCAGTGTTTCCGCAGGTACCACATGGGTGGGGCAGTGTAGTGAGTGCTCTGTCAAGCAGGCCTTCACCCTGTGTGCTTGAGGCCTTAGTGTGCTCATCCTTTAGCCATTGCAGAGAAATGAAAATAGAGAAACTGTCAAGCTGTGGCTCCAAAGGTTCAGAATATCCCCAACTCCTGTTCATAGCTAGAGCTTAGACTGTGGTATTTCTCTGTGCCGCTCTGTCCTAAAGTAAAGGGCCTTTGGTTTTGCTTTCATTTGTCTGACTCTGTCAAACCAATATCAATAAAGTGTCTGCACTGGAAAGCCAATGTGAGAGTATGTAAGTATCACCGGCAATGATCTTGCCAGACTGATAGTCAGTACTTTATCTTCTTGCTCTTTGATCTCTTTCATAGCAAAGTCAGAAATGTGCACAGTGCCAGCTCCCGACAAGCCTGCGCTGTCAGAAGAGGAAGTGGAGAGGAAGTCCAAGTCTATCATTGACGAATTTCTGCATATCAATGACTTTAAGGTAAATTCTGACAGTGAAAGCAGCAACTCTTAGGCAGCCGTGTCAGAGAGCACGGCAGCTTGTTGTGAGCAGGTAAGACATGGATTGAGTAATCCAGCCCTTCGGTGCAGGTGGCTCCTGCTCGTACATTCTGCCGAGTTCTCTGTTTTAAACTGATGGTCTCTGTCATTCACAAATTGAAGGGTGGGAAAAGAGAGTGGATCCCAGTCAGTGTGACTGAAAGGAGGCTAAACTGACTGTGGCATTAAGAGCAGACAGGGAGCTGGGCAGTGGTGGCGCACACCTTTAATCCCAGCACTTGGGAGGCAAAGGCAGGCGGATTTCTGAGTTCGAGGCCAGCCTGGTCTACAGAGTGAGTTCCACGACAGCCAGGAAGACACAGAGGAAACCCTGTCTCGAAAAACAAACAAACAAAAAAAAAAAAGAGCAGACACGGAGTACCACTGCAGCCACTCCTGCCTCCCAGTCCCACCTGTCTGGGCCCTTAGACACATCATCCCCTCTTTCCCTGGGTTATGGCTGTCACCATTTTTCCTTTGTTTTTATTTTTGTTGTTGTTGTTGTTTGTTTGTTTTTTTGAGACAAGTACTGGGATTAAAGGCATGCACCACCTCTGCCCGGCTTTTCCCTTTGTTTTATAAGTGGGAAACAGTGTGTGTTCAAGTCAGAAGGCCTGAGACATTTCAAGGCCCCCGCCCCATGAGCTTGCCCTTCTAACATCTCTTCCACCTAGACTGTTTTTTTTTTTTTTTTTTTTAAATCCAAAATGTGTTTATTGGGAAGGTTCCCACTTATCTTCAATCAGGGACTTTCAGTGCTGCTTCCTCCTGAAGGAGCATCCTTCTGTCAGCCTTGCTTTTCCACCTGTAGGCTGACAGAGGACAGTGGAACAGCCAACACACAAGACTACCGTTTGTGCATGGCTAAAGACCGTGGTGATTTTATAGCATCCTGGGCATTTCACATCCATAAAGTAGGAATTGGGGCTCTGCACCAGGCGCTTTCCTCTTCTCTTGTGTTTGCTCTTCTCCTCTGGAGAGGGATGAAGGAGCTCCTTTGCGAGAGGCATGTTCTCGTAGGGAGGTCGTCACCGCCGGAAAAGCCCACCTAGATTCTTAAGTGATGCTTGGTAGGACAGACCTCCTGCCTGACAAAAGCCACAGTCCAGTGACAGACAGAGCAGTGCAGGTGACTCCACAGATGTCCTCTGAGCTAGAGAGGGTGACGAAGATCTCATGACACAATCTAGTTCACTGCTCAGGTCAGGAAGTATCTCTTCTATTAAATATCATATTTAACAGAATATTGTATACTGCTAGATATCATATTCCTTTGCTTTGGTATTGTTGAAAATCCCATTATTTATTTTTTCTGAATAACTTAGCCATTACCTGCTTTTTTTTTTTTTAGTGTTTATTTATTTAATGTTTATGAGTACACTGTAGCTGTCTTCAGACACATCAGAAGAGGGCATCAGATCTCATTACAGATGGTTGTGAGCCACCATGTGGTTGCTGGGAATTGAACTCAGGACCTCTGGAAGAGCAGTCAGTGCTCTTAACAGCTGAGCCATCTCTCCAGCCCCATTATCTGCTTTTTGTACACAAAATCACTTTGATTATATATATTCAAGTTGTTAAACCTTCAACCAGAATTTGAAAGTGGGAAGAAGGTTATTTTAGTTTTGAGTTTTTTTGTTGTTTGTTTTCAGTTTCTTTTGAGGCCTTATGCAGCCTAGGCTAGCCCCAAACTCACTAGCCAAGATTGATCTTATACTTTAATTCTCCTGCCTCTGCCTCCCAATTCCTGGGCACGTACCACCAGCACAGGGTTATTTTGTTATGTTTTGAGACAGTGTCTTGCTCTATAGCCCAGTTAAGTTGGACCACTTACATGACTAAGCTGATTTTGACTTGTAGCTGGCCCCTGCCTCAGCTCCCGGACCCAGGTAGAAAAAGCTTTTGGTGATATTAAAGGTGAAGGGGTGATTCTCTAGACTTGACCCTGGAGCAGAGTGACCCTTGGGTGAACAGCACAGAGTGCTGCTTCCCTGCACTTATCCAGTCCCCTTTCTAGACAGCCAGCACACTTGTGGGCTGGCAGCACCTTGGCATGTGGAGAAACGTGAAAGACAGGAGAACTTGAAGAGCTGGCGCAGGTGACCACTGGAACATTCAGTGTTAGAAAGAGGCTTCCTGTTGTGCAAGGTCAGCTCTGAATTGAACTCGCCAACACAAAGCCACAGTGTGCATGAGGATCAGTAGTTTCCTAAGTACACGGGAAGACAGAAGCAACTACTAACGACCGTACAGACATAGATACGTTGTGCTAGATAATTTGACCTGAGCACTCAAAGTATTAAGATACCAGAAGCACAGACGAGCATAGACACCTGTAGGCGCTCTCTGCTGTGGTCAGCTGACGCCTTTCTCACTTCTGTCCTCTCTCAAGAAGAGCATGCTCAGAGGGTGCAGGAATGGGAAAGCCACTACTAGCCTGGAGGTAGCTGACGGCAGAGAACTCAGGTCCAGCTGAGCAAGCTAGACCGACAGGCTTTGTTCTCCAGTCAGACATGCTAACCAGCTGGATCACTCCATAGTCCGTGTAAGTTCCTGAAATGGAAGACCTCTTTGGTGGAAGATTGTGCAGTACTGACAGCCCAAGGCAGGATAACCCCAGTTGCCACATGAAGTTCTTGTTTGTTGTTTGTTTGGGGCTTGTTTTGTCTTGGGTTTTTTGTTTGTTTGTTTTTTTATAGACAATGTTTCTTGGTAGCACTGTTTGTCCTTGCTCTCCCTCTGTAGACCGCGCTGAACTCAAACTCAGAGATCTGCCTGCCTCTGCCTCCTCCCCAGTGCTGAGACTAAAGGTGTCCTCCACCAATCCCAGCTCACGTTAAAGTCATTGACTTTTGGTATTGAGTTCTGTTTTACAGTATCTCATTTTCAGAGTTTTAAAATGATACGTGCTGGCACATACTGTTACAACTTCCATATACATTATATGCATATATGAATGTTAAATATAATATTTTTTAAAAATCCATAAACACAGTATGGTATACTATATATTTATATGCTCTCTGGCTTTCTTTAATGTATATACTCGTACTGTAGTAGATACTAGCCTCCAACTTGTGGCAGTCTGCCCGTGTCAGCCTCGGAAGCGCTAGGATTGCAGGTGTGATGAATGACCTGTGGCTCTTGTTTAGAGACATACTTTGACACTGGCCTTTGAGTTACCTTTACTCCAGCTGTTAGTTAACTTGGGGGTTGTAGATGTGCTTGGGCAGTTAAGGGTACTTACTGCTCCAACAGAGGATCCAGACCCTGTACTAGCTCCTACAGGCATGAGGAGTCTGTACATACATACATTCAAGCACATGCACATACATATATGTTAAATACAAAAATAAATCTAAAAAGCAACAACAGGCGTCAGAGCTGTACGAGGCCATCCCCCTCGGAGGGAAGGAAGTTCAAAGTCTCACTGCATTACCTTGTCTCAATTTCAATCTGGATTAAAGCAATCCTTCTGCCTCAGCTTTCTGACCTGATGAGCACAGGTATACTGATATGGGACCTTGCTTTGTTACCCTAGTAGAACCTTGATCTCAGTGTGTACTCCAGGATAGATTTGAATTCAACAGCCATCCTCCTGCCTCAGCATTTTTAGTGCATGTGTCTCCACACCTGGATCAGTAGTTTTATTTCTCTCTACCTTTTATTCTAGAAATTTGTATATAGCACTCTTTTTAATACTAAATAAGCAAAAAACTTAGATTGGAAAACTGGTTTGTAAAGCTTTATGCTGCTTTCAATATATTTAGATCTTGAAGTTACCATAACATCAGATTTTGGAACAAGCCTTTATTTGTTTGAACAGGAGGCCACGCAGTGCATAGAGGAGCTGAGTGCCCAGGGCCCACTGCATGTGTTCGTCAAGGTGGGTGTGGAATTCACCCTGGAACGGAGCCAGATCACCAGGGATCACATGGGCCACTTACTGTATCAGCTGGTGCAGTCAGAAAAACTCAGCAAGCAGGACTTTTTCAAAGGGTTGGTATCCAGTATCTTCATGCCTAACCTGCTGGGTGATGTCTGCCATGTGGCCTCTGTGTCACGGTACTGTTCTACCATCATATGCATTGTTGATTGGTAGAACCGCAGTTTGTAGATTGGGCTAAAACACACATGTTATCCTCTGATTTCTCTGAGACCTCCATCTGGTGTCTGTAATATAAAAGAACCACAGCTCATTCATCACAAGGCTTTAAGTCAGTGAACCTCAATTTTCCTCAGGAAATTGTTGAGTTTTGTGTTTGCCCTCTAGAACTTACAGGTTTCTATGAATGATCCTGAGTTGTCAGAGATTGCTGTGCCCCAGTCTGACTTTTAGTTCCTGTTCCCTTTGCAGCTCTCCACCATCCTGTTTGTCCTGGTGCTGCTTTGATTGCCTGCACCCTGAGTCCTGGCAGAAAGTGGCTGCCCAGATAGCTCTGTGGAGCCCCCCCTCCCTCGTGCTGTTTTCTAGTAGAGCAGGTCTAATGTCTCAGTTTTCACTCACTTTCAGGTTCATAGTTTTTCACAAGTTAGAGGGTCAGCCTGTTTTGCCTATGGAAACCTAGCTGTCTTACTGCACTTAGCAAGGACTGTCCTGCCCTCACTCTGTGTTCTCGCACGTTTGTTGACCATAAACTCATAACTGAGACCATACTTACTTGGGTTTTCCCTCTCTTCCATTGGCCAGTGTCTTTTTACCCAGTGCTGTTCTGTTTTGCTTACACCTGCTTGATACTTGTTTGAAAGCACAGTTTCTTCAGAGGCCTGCACTAGCCTGCTGTCTGAGATGGCGTCACTTTTCTTTGGTTTGCCTCAGTGTCTACGGTTCTGCTGAGCTTCCCACTGTCGAGATCTCCTACTTGTCTACTGCTTAGACTTTGACCCAGGGATTGCCTCCTTCGGGAGTCGCTGTTCCTTGTGCAGAGCACAGTGCACATGTGCCGAGCTGCTCCCCCTCATTCGCTCAGCCCATAGGAGATACTAGTTCAGTAGTGCAAATAGAAGCAAATTGGACAACTAAGATATTTCTTCTAAAAGGAATTAACACTATAAACATCAATACCTATGAGCCTCACCTATGAAACCCTGTGTTAAGGGAGGGAGGGGTTGTGTATGTTTTGTAAACTGTTCCATGATGAACTGGCTGACTGTAAAGTGGAAACACAGGCCAAGAGCTAAGAGTTTGGGAATCTTTTAGTTGTGATGTGAGATGAAGCAGTGTATCGTTTACTGACAAGGATGGTTCAGTTGTCTGTTGGGCACATTACATAGCTTACTCTGTGCCAACTGGCTAAGAACATTAGTGGGCAGGATCAAGTGATTAACCTGGAAATCCTGGTGGTCCGCCAGATCATGTCCCCCAGTGACACGTTAACAGCTGAGTGTGTGCACGTAATGAGAGCATGTGCAAGTCTGCTCCATTAGAGATGGATGTCCGAGCGTGGCAGGCTGTGAGCACAGACCCTTGACATGATTAGGATGCCTGAGAGCCACAGTCAGAAATGGATCTGAGCTACACAGAGTGGAATTACAGTGAAAAACACACGTGTTACACAAGGACATGGAGCCAACTGTCCCCTGCTCCTGGCGTGCCCTTCATCCCTGCTTTTGACATGACTAGCAGAGTTAATTGTGCGAGTCTCTTGCCTCTGGTGTGAAACAGCTATATGTGAAAACAGTTGGACAAGCCCCGAAGTGTGTGTACTATGTCAGAGGCTGCAGTTTCCGTCCAGTGTAACTGCGTGTGCGCGCATGCACACACACACACACACACACACACACACACACACACAAGCCTTTTTTCTCAACAGGTCAGGCTCTGTTGCTCAAATTAGACTCAAACTTGTGACCCTCGCACCTTAGCCTCCCAAACATGGGGCGGGGGGTGTTCGGGGTCCCTGTGCCTAAGTTTTAAATTGAATTCACCATTATTTTACTTCACACCAAAAAAAATAGCTACATTTCACAGCACAGAGGCCTGGAGAACCTTAGAATCCTACAGTGTGTA